TTTGGAAAGTTTTCTTGCAGGATTTCATGGAATAGATTATCAATGCCCTTATGAGTCTCTTCACTTTCTGGGATGCCAATTATCTGGATGTTTGGATGTTTGATGGTATCTAGTATTTCTCGTATATTATTCTCAAATTTTGGGGCAATTTTCTCAGTCTTTGTGGTGGATTTTTCTAGGCCAGCAATTTTCTCTTCTACATATGAGATTCTATTTTCTGTATGATCTAATCTGCTTTTAATACTTTCAAGGAAGATTTTAACTTCTTATATTATAGCCCTCATCTCTAACAGTTCCATTTGATTATTTAATCAAGTGTGTAATTCCTCTTTCAGATCTTGCAAGAATTTCCTCACCTCCTGGAACTCATCAGCTCCTTTCTCCTTTCTCTTCTGCAGTTCATTGTCTCTCTTCTCTTCCATCTCTGTTAGCTTTACCATTATGAATGTTCTAAATTCTTTATCAGACATTTCCATGATTTCCATTGAACTGTCTGTGGATGAAGAAGAGTTATTCTTTTCCCTTGGGGGAGAGGTATTTTCTTGCTTTCACATATTTCTCATGGCCCTGCAGTGATTTCTAGTCATCTAATAAATGGTGGGTTTCTTTCCAAACTTGAAGTTCAATCTGAGCATCCAGGAGCATGCAGAAAAGGAAACAGAGAAACAACAGCAACAAAAACAACCAAGAAACATAGAAAAAGAGAAGAAAAAAACTTTTAAAATTTTTAAAAGATTATTTTTTTAAAAAAAGGCAAAAATTAGAAAACAGTGCAGCGCACTTGTGCACTGCGCAAAATCACTAGCTCTCAGGAGCCATGAAGGTGTCTTCTGAAGTCCTCTTCCCTTGACTCTCCTGGGTTGGTGGTAGGAGAGGGGATTATTAACAAGATAAAAAGAAAGGAGGGGCCGAATGCTGAGAAAATGCTTTGCCTTAAAAATTTTTTTAAAGGAAAATTTACCAAAAAATGAGAAGACAGAGACAGAGGTAGATAGAGACAGAGGCAGAGAGAAGGCTTGAGTGAGTTCTTGCCACTTGAGTTTGTGGGCTGGAGGCTGAATTATCAGTAGAAAATCTTCATTTCTCTTTTCCCTGAAATCACTAGTTCTCAGGAGACATAAAGTTGCCTTCTATTCTCTTTTTTTAACAACCTTTTAAAATATAAATATTATTGGTGTCTCAGACTTCCTGATAACAAAACTTATTACAAAGTGACAGTAATAAAACCAGTATGGTACTGGCATAAAGACATAGACCAAACCAATAAAATAGAGTCCAGAAATAAACTCTTCTATATATGCCTAGATTATTTTTCACAAGGGTGCCAAGATAATTCAATAGGGAAAAGACAGTTCTTTCAACAAATGATGGTGGGAAAAGTGAATATTCATATGCAAAAGAATGAATTTAGACACTTAATTTATGCTACACCCACACACACACACACACAATGGATAAAAACCTAAAACTCTAAGAAGAAAACATAAAGGAAAAGCTGCATTACCTTTAATTTGGCTGTGATCTCTTAACTATGATCCCAAAAAGCAAGGCAACAAAATAACATCGAAATTAAAAATTTCTGTGCATCAAGGACACAATCAACAGAGTAGAAAGGCAACCCACAAAATGAGAGACAATAATGGATGTTATCAAAACAAACAGAAGACAGAAAATAAGTGTTAACGAGAATGTGGATAAAATGGAACCCTTTTATATAATGGGTAAGAATGTAAGAGCTGCTATGAAAAATAGTACAATAACTTCTCAAAAATCAAAAATAGAATCACCATCTAATCCAGTAATTCCACTTCTGGGAATATATCCCAAAAAATTGAAAGCAAGTTCTCAAAGAGATATTTATACACCCACATTATAGTAGCATTATTCATAATAGCTAAATGGTAGAAGTAACCCAAGTATCTTTCAGTAGATGAATGGATAACCAAAATGTAGGGTATATTAATACAATCGAGTATCATTACACTTTTAAAAAAAGGGAAGTTAAACACATGCTACAACATGAATGAACCTTGAAGACATGTCAAGTGAAATAAGCCAGTCAAAAAACACAAATTTCGTACAATCCCACTTGTATGAGAGAATTAGATAGTCAAACTCACAGAGACAGAATTTGAAACAGTGATTGCCTGGGGCTGGGGGTAGAGGAATTGAGAATTCATGTTTAATGGACACAGAGTTTGTTTTGTAACATGTGAAAAGAGTTCTAAAGATGGAGGGTGGAGATGGACATCTAACAACATGATTGTACTGAATGCCATGAACTATACACTTCAGAAGGGATTACGACAGTGAATTTTATGCTATATTTATCACAATATATAAACAAGAAATACACACACACACACATCACACATAAACATATTTCTTAATTCAGGGACCAAACAAAAACAGGCCTCAGACCTGATTTAGCCCATGGGCTGCTATTGGCCAACCCTTGATCTAGTACAGTGATCTCCAAATAGTATTGCAAGGAGCGCTAGGAAAAAACTACACATTTGGAGCTTCCAGGCAGCTCCTGTGAAAGACTTCTAGAGAAGACTCTAGGCATTATCCTTGCTTCAGACATAGTAGTTCCTCTGTTATCTGGAGTTCTACATGCAAGACTTGAATGAAGGCCTCTACTGCTTGAAAAGGTTTACAAAATCACTGCTTCATCCATCTTCCTCATGTTACGGAAGACAAGACAAAGGAGCAAAGAGAACAAGTGAGGTGTACAGCATAACTAGTATGAGGACCGAAGTCCTTAGAGTGTGAGCTCAATGCTCAGCATTGTGCCACTCAGCCTACCTTGCCCACCACCGAAGGAAGGTCATTCCTCATTCACATGGTAGACTCCAGCTTCTTCTCAACAGGTCTATGTCTTAGATCAGCATTTCCAGGTGCCCACAAAGTGAATATGAGAAAAGCATAAGGCTGGATCCTGCTCTGTAGTTGGCAGAAAAAGTTAAGAAAATCTCCAGTGGTCCCCGAAAGAACTCTTTGTCCTAATCCTTGGAACCTGTGACTATGTTACATAAATGACACACACACACACACACACACCAAAAAAAAAAAAAATAGAAAGAAAAGATTTTGGAGATGTGATTAAAGACATTGAGATAGGGAGAGTATCCTGGGTGAGCCCAATCTAATCACTTAAATTCTTGAAAACTTTTCCAGCTGAAAGAATGGTCAGAGAGGTGTGACTTTGCTTCCTTTGAAGATGGGGTAGGAGGCCCCCCCGAACCAAGAAATGTGGCTAGCCTTCAGAAGCCAGAAAAGGCAAGGAAATGGGTTCTTTCCACCAACTCCAGAGTCATAGCCTTATCTACACCTTGATTTTAGCCCAGTGAAGCCAACATTAGACTGTTAACTTCTAGCACTGTTAAATAATAAATATGTGTGTTGTTTTAAGCCACTAACGGTGGAAATTTATTAGAGCAACCATAGGAAATTACTACATGTTCTCAAATGGATGCAGAACGTCTTACTTACCCTACAGCTGTGGCCAGTTAGGAGCATCTGCTTGCCTGACCCTTCTGGCTTCTCCACTAATGAGCATATTGGTCTCTTGAGAATCCAGCCCCACCCAACAGCTCTGAAAATCAAAATATAAGCCAATCTGGAGGCTTCCTAGGGGCAAAAATAATAATAAAAAATTTAATTAAAACTACTTCTGTAAACAGCAGTCGTTGAGCTTAACAAGTATTTTAAAAGCTGAAAGAAGAAAAAAAAAAAAAAAACTATCATTATTTCAGAACCTCTGTGCCTCCATCCTGGAGACTTGATGAGCAAAGCCAAGGTCTGAGTCATACTGCTATTAGAAACATGACCTGGTTTGTGTACTCAGTGTATGTGTGGGGTGGGGTGGGGTGGTGGGGGGTAGATAGGGCCTAAGAGGTGGGGAGGGGACCAGACAGACACAACGTAGAAGGGTCAGTTCAGACAGTGTTTTACCACATTGACATGACACTTCATTCCAGATCAACGGTCAGCAACTACTACCTTCAGGTCAAATCTTGATTTTATAAATAAAGTTTTACTGGGACATGGGCTCAGTCATTCATTTCTATATTGCCTATGGCTGCTTTCCCACCACAGTGACAGAGCTGAATAGTTGTACACATATACCTTGGCATGGAAAACTGAAAATATGTAACATCTGGCTCTTTATGGAAGAGCTTACTGACCCCCTTCAGATTCACGGGGCAGCCCAAGGCAAACTAGACAAAAAGGATCAGAAGCTCACCAGAAGCACCATTGCCTCTCCATATGGCCATGACATTAGGGGCAGGTTTGTCCTTCCTCCTGCAGTTGGTTTTATGACTCATCTTCTGACCCAGTTCAGAGGCTGAGAAGGACAGCCACATACCCGAGGAGATCCACGGTGCTACCCAGCTACATTCGCCTCAGAGTTGGCCACCCTAGGATGCATGCAGCCTCATTTGATCGGCTTGCTTCTCATCCATAAGTTCCCAGTCCTTCTAGCATATTTTTAAAAATATTACACTAATGTATTTTTCATCACCCATATATGATGTTACTCTGCAGCTCTCACCCACTGAAGAATGGCCTTTGTTGTTTCAGAAAAAGAAGAAGCGCAGCCTTAAACCAAAAAAATCCTGTGTTTAACTTTTTTATTATTATTATTATTAACATCCTCAAGTCAGAGATAAACTATTGTCTTTAAGTGAGTTTTCTTGAAAGAGAAAAATACGCTATATTTACTAAAAACAAAAAATCTTTATCCATATTAAGAACAGAACTCAAGGAATGAAGAATAGAGTGTGACTACAAACTACAGCACTGAGAGGACAGAGGATACAAGGTAGGAGCAATTCTTGTACAGAGGAAGGAGGAAGAACTTCCACCCATCCCCTCACCTACCAAAGGGTAGGCCCTGGAAGGAGGAGAGTGAGACGACCAAGATCCCAGATAGGTTGAGGGAGAATCTAGAAATATTTAGGTTGGTGCTTTGATTTATCCCACCCTCTACTGCACCACGTGTATATTGCATACATGCACACACACACACACACACACACACACACAGTCCATGAAGTTCAAGGATAGGAGAACATCATTTGCAGAAGAAAATGCCTCAGTAGATAAAAAGGCGTCAACATTCCCTGGTTTCCACACAGGCTACACCTGGCATCGGGACATCTAGACACTGCAATAATTCTGGCAGACACAGCAGAAGCAGCTGAGAGTTAGAGAGTGTTTACCAAGAGATTGCCTTGCCTGCAGCAAGAGAATCCTATAGCAGAGGCTGTGAAATAGGCCACAGAAAGCCAGAGTCTTTTTTTTTTTTGGCCAGAGGGTACATGTGCTTGCCAGAAAGACTTGGGGACAGAGGGAGGGAGAAAGGAGAAAGTACCCCTCAATGCGGTATAGTCACACCACAATCCCTTGTCTTCCATTTCTCCCTCTTATCAGGATTTGAGGCACACACATACTTGCACCCTGCATGTTTTTCAAACCACCAGGGCCAAGACTTAAACATCATGGTACATCATGTGAAGCAAAAGACCTAGTGGTCCCTTAACCACTAGACCAAGGAGCCAGCCCAAGCCAGTGTCTGATGGGAGCTCCTGGCTAAAGTTCTGAGGATTCAAAGCAGCAAGAGGCCAGGTAAAGGATGCTAAACTAGGGACAGCCACCATGCACTCATGCCCAGCCAGCTTTCATGAGCCACACCAGCAAAGACACCTTAATAGCCAAGTCTCCCTCTGAAAGACTAGCTAAGAACAAAAGTAACTCCAGCACATGCTGACCCTACCATGGCATTATGTAACCCATCCCTGGGCCCAGATATCATCCAGGGAGGAGGAGAATCGGCCAAGAGAAGGAGAAAAGGCATAAGCCCACAAAATCTGAACTTACCTGAAAACTATTGCTTTAAACTGGAATAGATCAATTTACTTAAATGGGCAACTTTTCATTTCTTCTAGGTTATTCTAAATAAGTAGGGGCTCCAAAGAAAGATCATATCATTACAAAAAGGGACGTTTCCATTTTTAAAATATTATTTGCTACAGTGAGTATGCTTCTCACTTTTGGTATCTACTTGAAAAGATACATACCACCCTTCCTTCTTACCCTCTCCCCTGGCTCACACATATCGATCCACTTTGTTTTTCACTATCTTTTGTGAGCAGGAGAGATGGAGAGAGAGGAGACAGAGAGGCAACATCCCATCTTGATCTTGGCATCCAAACCACCTTTAGTCAGCCCCAGATAATCAAGGTGTATCTTCCTGGAGTACTCAGATGCAAATCCGGAACCTTCCCATGTGACTCAGCCATGTAGACAGTGGTGTTTCACTGCTGTACCGCAATATGACCCCACAGCCCACTTTCTAGTCCCAGAAGAGAGAAGGGGTATATGGCGCACTGAGGCAGGGGTGAAGCAAGCAGATTCCCTGCTTGGATCTGAGTGTGCTTGAGCAGGCAGAGAGTCAGATGCTCTGGGCAGCTTCCTCGATTCACAAGCCAACAGCAAAGCAAAGAGATGATGGGCCCTATTTCCTCTCCCCAAGGCTGACTGCCAACAAGAGTTTCCAAATGCAGTGGCCAGTCCCTTGGGTCCCATGATTTCACATCAAATCACCCTTTCCCATTTCCCCAGGACCCAGGCCAGGCCTTGCTGTCTAAACACGTCATGCACAGTGCCCACCTGAGAAGCCATGAATTGAGGCATAAACCCCCCACCCGGAGACATAGAACTGGGTGCAAGACAGAGGCGCGTGGCTATGTAGTTACAGTATTTCCCCGAAACTGGAATTAATTATCACTCCTTGTTCCTCTGTCCCTCTTAGATCTGCAAAGTGTGGGTCACAGTGACTTTGTTTTTATTGGCCCACCTCATATTGAAACCATTCCTGCATATTGATACTGAATATTTCAGCCAAACCCTGGTGAAAATTACTTACTGTGCAGCACAACAGAGCGACTTTCTAAAGTTAAATGTCTTGGGATATTTTATCTTTTCAAGTACATACCAAAAGCAATTAAGTTCAAACTATGGAATACAGTCTTTGCCAGTTTCCATTCCTGACACATATGTGTCTGGGTTTATAAGTTCAAAGACCTCTTACAGGATCAAATCTCTAGCTTTAATTTTCTCTTTGCAAGTGAAAAACAGTCCTGCAGCCTCCTTTAAATCATCTGCAAGAAAATGCGTGGCGTGAGGCCTTTACCCAAGACATCTCTAATGTGGCCAAAAAAGGTGGAACGAGAGCCCATGCTGTCCTCCCCTTGCCAGCACCTCACAGGGAGGGGCAGTGGCAAGAGGATAGTATTATAATTGTTTGAAAGTAAAAACTTGGGTCACAGTGCTCTGAGTAGGGGATGAGTATAGCAATCCTACACCAAAAAATCATTCTGACCCACTGAGCTCAGCTGTTACTACACTGACCCAATCACAGTGTGTCTCCAGCATGCACAGCAGCCCAGTGCTTCTCCCTACTTCTTTCCCTCTTCCTTGCTGCCCTCACTGCAGAGACTTCTCCCATTGCACCCACTTCCTGGATTCCTGAGACCTCACACCCTCCTGCATCTTCTCATTTCTCTGAGAGCCATACCTCCTTTCTTCCTCTTCTCCCTCGAACAAGATGGGCTCTGTCAATGGGATTTGCACTTGTAACTAAAGATACATTCTGAACAGGCTGGAAAGGCCTAGGAAAATCTATTGCAATTCTTCATCCCCACCCCAAGTTTATCTTTTAACACTAGTTTTCAAATTATAATTGTACTCATTCATGGATTCTGTACTCACAAATTCACCTACTTGCTAAGATGTATTCATACCCCCAACTGATATATGCAGGCATCCACAGTCATTCACAGACATGGCAGAGCAGCAAGACCTTTAGCTTGACCAGTGCACACATTCCTGGCAAATGAATTATACTCTTGTCTTCTTGTTCTGGCTCTTATACTATAAACAATATTTTTGGCTCTGTATTTTTCACACTTTGCACTTCCTGTTAATACTTTTGTTGTTTAAAATGGTGCCCAAGTATAGTGCTAAAATGTTATCTAATGTTCCTGAGCTCAGGAAGGCTCTGATGTACCTTCCATTGAATATAGGTGTGTCTGATATGCTTCATTCAGTCATGCATTAATAGTGCTGTTGGTCATGCATTCAGTGTTAATGAATCAATAATATATATTAGGGACCAGCAGTTAGAGTAATGGCTGTGTCTCTGGACTCCCATGTAGTCGACCATGGTTCGAGTCCCAGACCCAGCTGCTTAAACTCACGCCGGGCACGTGTACATGTGTGCCCAAGATCCTGAGAGGAGAATGGAGGAGAAGGGATTCCGGTGTGGCCATCCCCCCTGGGGGGTGATTTCTCGCTTTCTGTCTCTCTGTCTCTCTCTGTCTGGCGAGCACACGCACCCTATAGCAAAAACCTCTCCAAAAATAATAATAATAATAATAATATATTAAATACAGTGTCTTTAAACACACACATGAAACAAGGGTAGCTGACAAAATTGTGACCAGAAGCTCTCAGGAACCTACCTCTATATTCGCCCAAAGACAATTGGTCGAGCATTTGCCAATTCAGCATTCTTAGTGACTGTATAGGGCATGACTACCAGGAATAACAAGAATGAACAATGA